GGGGCTGGTGGAGAGCCACGGTCATGTCAGACAGCAAAGCCAGCAGCTCAGGCACTCTGATGGCACTGCAAGGCCCGGGGTGATGCACTGGTACGTGCACTGAAAGGCAGAATGGGACAGCATTGGCGAGAGTGACAGCAAAGCCTTTCCCACGTCTCCCTTCCCCAGGAGACACCACACGCCATCCTCTGAACACCAGTATGAAATCAGCACCCAGGGGCGCATTTCCCTCATTCATGACATACATCAGCAAATGCAATGGTGGGACACAGATCATTTCTGCCAGCTCCTGATTTTAAATGCAGCACCAGGGAAGAGCAGAGGAAAAGAAAAGCCTGCTGAGTGTTTCAGCCAGCCGAGAACCTCTCACACAAGAAGCAGACAAGCACAAACATCTACTGACACAAAAACTAGTCACTTGCAACTGCTGTGCAGTAAGTTGCAGAAACAGGTCCAAAGAAAATGAGTCAATTAAAATCTACCAGAACACTTCTTCTACATCAAGAAATAAGTTTATTTCATTGGAAAAAGCCCAGAGCAAAACCAAGACATGACCTTTCTGTCAGTGAGCGCCACAGCAAAGCATTTTACTCATGGATTGCAGATAGACAATCATTCTATGTAAAACACCTGAAAAGCTTTCATCAGCCTACATTTACTCTCTGCATTCTGAGATTTTTCTGATTTCATATTATACCATAAAATACATGAAGTAAAGATTAAGAAAGTTAAGGTTATTATCAAAACCCACCAGAATTTACAATATTTTACACTGTTAACATGCTCTTCCCTGAGGCACACAGAGAGGCACACTGCCTACCCCACATACCAAAATTAAATCAAAACAAGACAAACACAAAAAGAAGAAATATCACAAGTGGAGGACAGCAGAAAATTCATTCTTTCTGCTGCCCATCAGCCCCAAATAAACCAGGCAGAAGAGCAGTCAAATCACTGAAATTGATGTCACATCAATTGGCAAACTGACTGAGCCTGTACAATTGCTCTCCACCAAATTCACGGGCTCAAGCTGTCTGTTCCCCATCTGCTCCTCTGCAATTTAAGCAATTCTGAACTTCACTCTGTGTACCCAAATGTGTCACAGATTTATCTGCATGTCAGGGCCCATTCTTTACATTCTCCACTAAGGTAAGCTATTAGGGGGAGGAAATTTTCTGTGTTTATAATAGCCAGGCCAGGAAAATACAAGGAGGACAATCACACATGACCTTACTAAATCCACCATGAAAAATTCATTAGATAACACAATCTCCACTATCCCCCCCCGCCCCCAAATGTTTTTTAAAAAGGCCATTTTGTTCTCTTACGTGTGTTTAAAGACATGTTTAGTACACAGTACAAAATACTGTAACAAGCTTACAGAAAATTGAATTTGTGGGCCTTTTTTGCTCATATGATGAGCTCCATCATGTATGTGAACACCTGACAGATAAGGACTGGGATCCTTCACTAGCATATATGGGGTGGCCAGTCTTTAAATGCCTTTCAGCAATAAAGGGGAGGGAACCTTACTAAAAACCACAAACAACTTTTGCACACCACAGTTCAGTTTGCAGACACGCTGTCAAGTATTTTAGTCTTTGTTCAGAATTCTCCCACTGCCTAAAAAGCTAATTTAATTAATTCCAAACATAGTTAATAATTTGTAATTTAGCTACCTTAACAGAATGCATGCTCCATTTAGAGACGCAGCTGCAGATGCTCTCACAGGGAAGAGCAAAGCACAATGCTCTCACCCTGGAATTACACCACTGGTGATGAGATGCTGTAAACGAAAACCAGACTATGGCTCTACGTGACAGACAACATCAACAAATCCGAGCTCCAAATTCCAGATTTTATCAAATACTCTCTAATATGTAATGGCAATGTATTTTCCATATTAACATACGTCTTATGGTATGACTGATCCCTGCTTACATCCTGTGAGATATCTCAAGTATCTCAGGTTATTCTCTGTTTTGGTCAGTAACTTGTGCTCTGATATTAGAAAATTCATTTCACTTGTCTAAACTACCCTCACCTCTTCCACTGGTGGACCTCTTACCACTGCCAAGAACTTTGAAATACATAAGCACAGGTTTGCTATATATTTTATATATATATATGTATGCATACAAATTATCACCAATACTGAAATTGCTTTTTATGTTGTATTATAAACTATTTCTGCTACACCTAAAACTACATAAACTTTACTCTCTTCATAAATAATCTGCATTACTCCTCATCATAAAGTCCCTTCAGATCCTAAAGGGTTTTCATTCGGTGAAGCATTTTGGCACTGGCTCTGTTGTTGCAATATACAAAAGTGTCGTTTTGACAACAATCAAAACATCTGTTGATGACAAAAATACAAAACTCACAGACATGTAATTGTGTATCACCTACAACAGTTACCCACATATATAGCAGAGATGGTACTAAAGTGTAACCAGCATAGCCCCTACAAGAGATAAAATATATTTTGCATTATTAAAAACCACCAGTTCTTAGCCCTTGTGGTGAAACACTGGAGTAAATCAGTTTGCTTCTCTCCTCTATGTAACAGCAGAATTTACACCAACTGAAAGACATGGAAATTTTCAGAAGTCCCTCATTTATCCTGACCATTATCCTGACTTACACTGACCATTTTCCTATACATCCCGTGTGTAAACAGCTGAAAAACCACATGCACTTCTATGACCAAGACCAACCTCCATGGGAAACCTGCCACAGGTTGGCCAAAGCAGGAAAAAAAACACCAAAGCTCAGATCCTAGATGAACAAGCAAAACTGACCTCTGAAATTCCTAGCTAGGCTTCAAAAACACCCGGAGCCCCACAAAAAAAACCCAGCACAACTTAAGATGGAACCTATGTGGGCCACAGCCAGCAAGGCACAATGCTCATTAATTGTTTGGAAACTTGTATGTATTTTTAGTAGAGAAAAAAATCAAGAAGTAAGAAAGAGAACAGGCTTCACAGTAAGGCTCAAGCCACCTGTGTTAAAACCCATAAATCAATAAAAAGAAAGATAAGATAGCATACTATCAATTTCACCCCTACATATGCTTCCACCAGATAAAGGTCACAAATACACACTCAAGTAAAAATTTAACGGTGAATTTAACACAATACATTTTTGTCCATCAGCAAATAACAGTCCTTACAAAGTGAATAAAAAAAAGTTATTTTTAGACGGACCTTAGAAAATAGGGAAACACAAAAGACAAGGACAATGCAGTTTCAAAATTTCAAAAGGACAGATGATAAAGAAATGGCAGGTGCAGGTTTTAATCCATAAATGTAATACACTAATGAGAAGAAGTATGATTTCACAGAATAAATATTCTTGTAAGATTACGAGATAGTGGATAAAAGTAACTGCTGCCTCTAACAGTTTGCTGGAGATTTGTGACTTCAGACATCTGCCACTAAGGAAAAAAGCATTTAATAGTAAAAACAGTGCTAACGACAATGTAATGGACATACCTAAACTGCCACAAATAGGCTTGAAGATCTCTAAACACACCTACAGCGTGGACTCATCAAGGAAGACTGTTGCTAGTTCAATGTTGCTAATAGTCACAAATACTCTAACAGTAATTTTGAAAAGTAGGTAATTATTGGCGCTGTCATTCTTTACTATTTCATCAACATCTGGTCCATCTGCAATGACCAGAAAAAGCCAAATGATGTGAGCACAGTTGTGCAACATGGATCTAATTGAAAAGCAAGGCCGTACATCACAGAAAGATGACGTGACATCTACAGAATGAGGAGCTGAACCCTCCCGAGTGGTGTCACCCTCATCCCCAGCACTGGAGCTGCTCTGAAACGCTGCGTGCCTGCCTCCAGCGCTGTGTGTGCATGGGGAGCAAGGGCTGCTGAGCCTCACACCCTTCCTCACACTCACCAGCAATGAATTCTGCTTGAAAAACTCACTGAAGCGACTGTTGCGTTTGCTCTGTTTGCATCACATTTAAATTAAGTTCAGCTGTGAAAACGATGGGTGAGCGAGGGTAAATTTCCATTCTCTCGCTGTCATGGGATTTCACACAGGAAAATTCAGCGGGGGACGGGTACTAACTCGCATGTACGGACAAAGAACCAGTCTGTTGTACACGCTCGGCCTTCTCTAAAGGTTCTGTAGAAGTATTTTGCTCAGCACGAGGATAACTGCGCTCCGAGCCGCGGAGGAGCGATAGCTGCTCTGGAACTTGTGTCAGAGGCGTGCATTGCACAGAGCGCTGTGTGCTGACCGCACCGCACCGCCGGGTGACTCACACCGGGTTTGGGGGCCACGGCACCGGGCTCTGGGGTGCCCACGGCACCGGGTTTTGGGGTGGCCGCACCCCAGCAGCGGAGGCAAATCCCGCTGAGGGAAAAAATCCCCGTGCGCTCCCAGGCCTGCGGGGCCCGCCGGGCGCCCGGCCCGCTGTGGGCAGCGCTACTTCCATCCGTCCTTCCCCGGCCGGGCCCGCAGGCGGACCGCGGGAGCGGCCCCGCACACAGATCCAGCACACAGACCCCGGGAGCGGCCCCGCACACAGATCCAGCACACAGACCCCGGGAGCGGCCCCGCACACAGATCCAGCACACAAACGCTGCACACACACTGCGGGAGCGGCCCCGCACACAGATTCCGCACACAAACTCTGCACACACACTGCGGGAGCGGCCCCGCATCCAGATCCCACACACAGACCCCGGGAGCGGCGCCGCACCCAGATCCGCACACAAACACTACACAAACACTGCACACACGCACTCCGGGAGCGGCCCCGCACAGAAGGCCCCGGGAATGGTGCCGGCGGGCCGGGGCGGCTCCTCCCTCGTCGCTCGCCCGCCTGCCCACCCCACCCCGCTCGTCCTTCCCCGCCAGCCCCTTCCTCCCGCTCCCCAGAGCCTTTTCCTCTCCCCCTGTCTCCTCCCTCCCTCCCCCCCACACAGTAAGGTAACTCCCAGGAAATATGCGAACGTGTTAATTTTTACCTTCCTTGGCTTTTTTCCTCCTGGCCAGCGTGCCGCCGAGCTTGCCCAGGAAGGAGTCATCTTTCTTTCTGGAGGGGGGAGATTTGGGGGTGGGGGACTTGGGGGAAGAAGGGGATTTCTGCGGGGAGGTTGCCATGCTGGGCCAGCCGCCGCCGGCGCCGCGGGACGGAGCAGCGGCACGGCTCCGAGGCCCCGGTGCCGTGGGAGGCTGTTCCCGGCTCTGAACGGAAGCGGAATTATTTCAAGCATTTGAGGCAGCTCCTGCTCCGCTCTCCCGGCTCTCCCGCTCCTTCCCTCCCTCCTCCCGCCCTCCCTCCCGCCGGGGAGGGCCCGCTCGCCTCGCACGGCTCCCGGTGGCCCCGGGCGGTGCGGGGGCCGCTCCGCTCCCGGCTGGGGGCAATCGGCGTTCGGGGGGCCCAAGGGAGCCGGGGCAGCGCCTCGCCCCCCGCTCCATCCTCCGGCCGCGCACAGGGGCCGGGCACAGCGGGGCTGGGTGGGCGAGGGACCCAGGGTGGGTGGGTGACCCAGGGACCATGGGCGCCAAAGGGTGAAGGTAGGTGCGGGCACAGTGCTCACACCGCTCAGTTCAGCCTCAGCTGCCCCAAAGTGAAGGGCAGCTGAAGGATAGCAGGGTCACAGCTGCCAGCAGATGTTTGTACGTCCATAGGAAAACAGAATCACGGTCAGGGTTGGAAGGGTTAAGGATAATCTAGTTTCCAACACGGTGCCATGGACAGGGGTGCCTTCAATTAGACTTGATTGTTTAAAGCCCCATTTAACCTTGCCTTGAACACTTCCATGGATGGAGTGTCCAGAGCTTCTCTGGAGAGCTTGTTCCAGAGCCTCACCACCCTCCCAATAAAGAGTTTCTTCCTAATATCTTGTCTAAACCTACCCTTCTTCAGCTTAAGGCCATTTCCCCTTCTTCTGTCACTACCTGTCCTTGCAAGAAGTCCCCCTGAGGTGTCCTGTAACTCCCCTTTTGGTACTGGCGGGCTGCTAGGTCTCCCTGAAGCATTCTCCAGGCTGAACAACCCCAACTTTCTCAACCTGTATTCATGGGAGAGGTGCTGCAGCCCTCTGAGCACCTTGGTTGCCTCCTCGGGACATGCTCCATCAAGTTCATCTCTCTTGTGTTGGAGGCCCCACATCTGGGCACACAAAAGAACTTATGAAGCAATAAAGTCTCACTAAATAGTTTCCTGCAAGTTAAATTTCAAGCTTACTACAGACATTTCAGTCTGGATAACATTTTGCAAAGCTCTTCTGCCTGCTCGTCCTCTGTGTCTGTGGTGAGAAGCAGCAGGCATTGTCATATCCACTGCTACAAAACAAAACAATTGTTGTAGGCAGACCAGTATAAAAAGGCTGTGGAAGGAAAGGTGACTTAACATGATAGATTGCCTATACCAGCCCTGCTTTGATTTGCAGATGAGCAGCTTAAGGAAGGTTTAAAACAGATAATTTGCTGTGACTGGTTCAGGAGGCATCCAGGAGTGGAACAGCATTAATGTCATCTGGATGCACTACTTTCACTTACCACTTAATCACCTGATTAACAATTCAGGCAAAAAGCCACACACACTTCATGCAAATATCTAGCTATCCATTAGGCATAATAAGTGAAATGAAATTACCATGAGGATATTTCTAAATCAGCTAATAATTGTTGTGTCTTTACAAGCTGGTAACGTTGGTTAGCTGATGAGGGGTAGACATCAATGTCTATTTGTTGCATGCAGTTCGTGTGTGCCCTGGAAAAAAACTCTATTCATTCATCCTGCTATCAGTTATAAACAGGAATGAGCCCAAGGCTGAGCACAATCCTTTCCTTGAATTTGCCCTCTGGTTCTAGCACCAGTTACTGTCTCAGGCCTTTTCTCTTTGGATTTCAGCCTGAATTTCACACACTATTCTCTTTTTGCAGACCATGAGAGCAGAAGTGCTGCTTATACAGTGTATGTATCATTTTAAATAACATAATAAACGACAGCTTCAAAAGGAGAAATACACACATCATGCACTTTTAAAAATATGCCTGTAAATCTGTGCTATTTACAAACAGAGCAGTGACCCAGCTGACCCTCCATTTGGAGCCAAATGACTATGCATGGATGCCAATATAGGATTTTGTGGGCACAGCAGAAGAGAGAACATTTTTGTAAGCACAAGTGCACTTGCCTTTGTACCCCTGTGTTTGTGGTACATACAGAAGGAACAAGCCAGATGCCTCACAAAGAGCAGTGGGTACTGAGCTGTGCAGTACAGAGTGGTCAGAAATCAACAAACATTTGTCAATTCCCTCACAAAACTCTTAAAAAGACACAGAATCGTTCCTATTTCTCAACACTCAGTATATGTAAATTAATGATAAATACAGTGTTACTTATTTGATAGCCTTGTGAACTATGGGAGTTTGACATCACAAGGTGAAAAAAATGAAATGAAACAAAGTGTTTAAGATGAAATTTATCAGATCCGGAAACTCAAATTCTGTGTGCTTTAAGTAATGATGCTAAACCAACAGCCAGACCCTAAGTTTAAAGTTTTGATTTTGGGATTTCTTTCAGGATCTTTGTGCAGTTAAGATTGGGCATACTCATATGCTGGAATTTAAAGCACAGCTATGATTTCTACTCTAACTTCTTTGGTAAAAGAATATTCTGTTTAAATAATATAACAAAATAACATCATTTTATAAAAGTAAGAGAGCATTTCCAAACAGATTCTAAAAACACACAGCAAATTTTTGTTGTGCATCAAGGAGCAAAACAGATTAAGATGTGATGAGGAGAAATGTACATGAAAGATAAAAGATAACGTTGTATACAGGCACAGAAATTAATAATGTGAAAGCTTCAGAGGCAAGAAAGTGGGTTTAAAACTTTTTGGTAAAAATGGCAACTTTTGGTAAAACTTTTTGGTAAAGTGGTATTCACTACTTTTGGTAACATGTTACATCAATTAGTCATTTATAAAAACTGGGCCAAATTTACCTGCCTTTACAACTGTCCTTCTTGAGATAGTTTCAGGAAAAAAAAAAAAATCAGTATTATGATTTTTTTTTTCTTAGGAAGTTTCAGTTGTAGCCTTTGTTTGGGCCTGTAGTTATGTACAGGTGTGTTACACAAATGTTCCAGCAAGCACAATACTGGCATGCAGTGACACCATGATATTCCCTGAAAAATCCCTTCACCAGGATTTTCCTCCTGAGAAGCTGAGAAGCCTCAGAAAAGAAATGTAAACAATAATTATCTGATTGCTTGGAATGTGGTCTGGAGTGCATCTTGGATTGGCTCCATGTGAATTGTTTCTAATTAATGACCAATCCCAGTCCAGCTGTGTCAGACTCTCTGGTCAGTCACGGGTTTTTATTATTCATTCTTGTTAAGCCTTCTGATGTCTCCTTTCTCTTTCTTTAGTAAAGTTTTAGTATATAATTTCTTTTAATATAATATAATATCATATCATATAATAATAATAAATCAGCGTTCTGAGAACAAGGAGTCAAATTCTCATCTCTCACCTCATCCTGTGGGTTTCTTCTGTTGCTCATGAGAAGCAACAGAAGAAACCACAATTTTTTTCATAAATATCAGGCAAAGAGATCTGTGTGAAGTCCAGCAAATACCTTGCCCATTTGAAGGAACAGCATTTGCATGCTGCCATGGCAAACCCATTGTGCTAAACAATGCCAAAATGTGTGGCCCATGAAAGCCCAGCAGGGACAGCTTAAAAGCAAAAATCTTAACAGCAGCAAAGTCACAAAAGCTACACAGAGTCTCCAATCTGCTATGCCACATCCTGTTACTTGCTCAAGCAAGGAAGAAAACAGTGTCTCTCTCGTGGAAAATAACTACTAAACTAATGCAAAAATCTTAGTTGAAATCAGAATGCATTGGGCTACAAAACAGAAGTTTCAAGGCACAAGACCTTTAAATTTGTTTCCTATGGTCAAACACACTGAAAATCAGTGAGGTGTCCCTTTACCTTGGAGGCAAATGGGTTGGTCTTGGTTCAAACAGTGATTTACAAAATTGTTTTCCCAAGCTTTTTATAGAATCACAGAATTGTTTAAGTTTGAACAGACATTTAAGATCAAGTCCAGCCATTAACCCAGTGCTGCCAAATCCACACTGAACCACATCCCTAAACACCAACTGAGCTTCTTTAGACCCGTGATCTTTTGAAGAGGGGGTAAGGAGGGTGTGTGCATGCACTGTGATTAGAAGAGCCCCAGTAAATTCCTGTGGTGGCATTTCTGTTCTGCTCCTGGGACAGAAAAGTTCACAAGATGGAAGGGAAAGGACATGACAGTGAAAGGAAAATCTCAGTTCAAAGATGCCAGAAATGACACTGACCTCTGAAGAGAAGCAGCTGTCTGTCAGAACCCAGGAAATTCCTCTGGCTGCCCTGGAGGACTCAGGACCCTGCCCGGGGTCTCAGAGACCTTGGCACAGAGCCCAAGACCCCTGTGCCTTTGATTTAGCCCTTGGAGCAAATCACCACCTTTATATGAAGAATTACAAGTCAAGAGAGTTTAAGTAAAATAATAGTTTGTCACGGGATGAAAAATAGATTTTTGAGTTTTTTAGAATGGGGGCTTGGGATCCCAAGATGGAGGAATTTGGGTGTACCCTGTCCTTCTTCTTTCTTCTTCTTGGTCTCCATCTTCTGGGTGATGCTGGCACTTTGAGATTGGTTTAGGGTAGAAGCTCACTGTCTAACATAGGTGATAGGTATTGGGAAGTTATGGTAAATATTGTACACGTAGTTTTTAGAATAAAAAGATAACATGGCCCTGAGCGGACCTCAGCAGGCCAGAGAAAGAATTTCATAGATAAGAAACAATAAACAACCTTGAGAACAAGAACTGAAGAGTTCTGACTCCTTTGAGTGCCGGGCTGGGAAAAGAGACTTTCTAACCCATCTGGGGTCACTGTGAGCAGCAGAGATTCTGAGAGCTGTCCGTCTGTCCTGTGAGGAGGAGGGACCCATCCATCAGTCCAGAGTCACTGAGCAGGGCACAATCATGCTGGCTTATCCTCTTCTCTCCTCTGGGCAGCACATGGTCTGGGTCAGTGAGAGTCTCCCACTGCTGGAAAGCAACAAAACAACATGACCTGATAGAGGGAAAGTTAGTGCCGTTTGAAAATTGACAACTAATTGGCAATTATGATTTTGATCACCATTTTGTCAACACTTTTCCTTTGAGTCTTGAAGGAGCTGTTGTAATTTGTGTGTCAAGCCCA